ATCTATTAGACTGTGTTCTTGGCAATTACTAGAGATAAATGGATATACGCTATTGTGGGTAGGGGTACTTTATGTGGCAATACTACAATTGGTACAATAATGTGTCGCAACTTAATCATTAAGTTTACTTGGACTACTTATTTTAAACACATAATGCTCTGTGAAAAGTACAAATAATTTACACCTACATATATCGACAAACTACTTCGTTTTATTTTTAACCAACTCCAATATTAAAAAAGGGAGGTCCTAAGTTAGACTGTATTTTTAATGTATATTCACCAATTTCTCAGCTAATTGTAGACTGTTTTTCGGAATAAATAGAAGAAGTCTTCCAATTTGGTTTACTTGGACGACATATTTACCCTCGAAGTACCCAAACATAATAGCATATTTTGCATGTCAATATTAATAAGCTTATACCTCCGCGTGGAAATTAATTATCAATAGAAGTTTCCACAACATATACTCGTATTAAACCTTTAGCACTTATAAGTATTAGTTTTCACTTATTATAAGTCAGTTTTTATTATATTAAAAATGAAAGCGAGGAATTGCTATTGTAAATCTAGATTCAAATCAGCTGACTGTATCATTTAACACAAAATAATACAACGATTACAATGTACTTAAGTAATACTTGGTCAATAGCGAATAAAGAGATCAATATAATTATTGAATTATTATTAGAATATTTACACAAAAAATATAGCATGGAAACCAACATAATCAAGCTGTTGACTATAGTAAATTCCCGACTCAATGTAAGAAGAAAGAGCACATTCACAATATCCAAGATTTCACAATTCATCAAAAGCGGCGTCGGGAGCGGCCTCGTGAGCCCTTATTTTTTTGAACCCGGACAGCTGTCGGCGGGGCAGGTGTCGGTTTTTCGGCGAAATTCGTCCGTGGCGTGCTAGTAATTAACCTCGAATGCCTCCGAAGATTTCGTGGAGCACAATTTATTGCATCCTCTGCCCCGGTAATTCTTATCTCTGGTGTTGTTTTTTAAGTGCTCAACAGCCGAATGTTTGACGTCGCATGTCGTGATTTCGCTTATAAGGAACCGTTTTAAATTTTAATTGGTCTACTTTTTTTGTCTGTTACTTCCTGATGATGGCTGCGGGAGACTAAAATATTACCAGCTTAACAAATAAATGAAATAATAGATAGTAATTTACGATTTGATACTCTCATATTTTACCTTTTAGGGTTTCTTGCGAGGTGTGTAAAGATATAAATAAATAAATAAATATTTAACGACATCACATACATTGCTCAGATTCCAAGATGAGTAGCTAAAGCCCCCGTATTATGGAGTATCTGAGACAACGAAGGTGCCACAACACCCAGACCCGAGTTAATATAGAAAAGTTCATTTTATACATTGACCCGACCGGGAATCGAACCCGGGACCTCAGAGATGGCGACACCTTGAAACCGGCGTGCGAACCACTTGGCTACGGAGGTCGTCTATCGATATGAGCGTCACATGTAATTATTTTGCTCGTTAAAGCGTTTACAATTTGAATTTTATTAATATTCTCTTATTTCCAGGAATGTTATGTTGTTATTATGAATCGACCTCTATTAATTGAACCGACATTTTCCTCTGACCTTAAGGGATTTTTCGAGGAATACTCGTGACCTATATTTGTATCTAGAACATTGTATGTAGGCCGACCGTACAGCTATGGTGTATCGATTTTTCATGACACCTTGTGTTGTGGAGTTTCTTGGGCTAAAGGTAGATAGATAGTTCAATGGAAAATGAAAGTAGTTGAGATTCTATTGAGATATTGCTATTATTACTTAAACATTAACGGAATCGAAGAAGCCGTTTATTTCGTCCTCGGTAGAAAAAAAGACAATACGATCCGCATGCAAACTTTTTGTTTTTGATCTTCAGTATTATTTCTTTTTAATATTCACCTTTCGTTGTTTGAAATTTTGACTAATCCAATGTGCTATTTATGAATGACAGTTCGTAAAAAAAAACATTCAGCGATACCATGATAAATTAATCGTATTATCATATAAATCTAATAATAATAAAGTTATTGTAATTTAAATTAGATAAATGTAATACCTATTACGGAAAACCCAGAAACGGGCATGTAACTGTTCTATTCAACTATTGTTATTATATTATTTAGGTGATCATACGAACTGTTTTTTATATTCATTTTTTGTTTGTTACAGTTTTTCTTATTTAAATTGTAGTAACTTTATTATTATTGGACAAATTTATGTGATTCAATTATCATGTTCTCACTAGATGATTTTTTTACGAACTGACAACATAAAGAGCATATTTGATTGGTGAAAATTTCAAATTACGGAAATAAAAATAAATGATGTTGAAGATCAAAGACAAAAAGTTTGCATGCTGATATCTATGACGAAATAAATGGTCGGTGGTACGGCGCACCGTAACGCACGCTGTATGACACACCCCCTACGTGAAATATGACATTGTGCAACTAAACTTAAACACAACTAGTAGAAATTCTACTCTATTAATGTTCCACGTATTGTAAGTACGTATTGATATTTATGACGTCAATGGGCCTATCTAATTAGGTCAGTAGGTAAAGCCCTTCAGTGTTATCAAAGCTTCAAGGGCCGTCACGCGTGGCGTATGCGTGCATCATCGGTGACCTTTAAAAAGTCAAGTCCACTTTTAGTACAAAGTCTAATCGATATATTGTCACAAATGGACTTCGCTTTGTTCTACGCTGACCAATGTTCCTTGAGTATTATTATTTAATATTTAACACTGGCATTGATTGATCGCTTTGGTAATGGCAATTATGTAATGTCGTTGCTACTGTTGTACTGGTCGTAGCGTCGAGTTGATGAGTTTGTTGAGTCTCATTCTCACTGTCACCGAAAAGATGTCCCTAATGGTTGATGGAAATAAGGCAAATAAATTCTCTTTAAATGGGAAATTGTTTGTTGAATTGTCAAGGCTTCTCAGCTTTATTGCGTAAGGATCGTAATCATCTTAGAAAAGAAAGGCATAACTATAGTTCCCTCACTTGAATTGAGGGTTTATGGTCTGCTGGCATTTTTATTGCTATTGCAATAGTTGCTTTGGCAAAATATAACGAACCGTACAAGGTACACGTTACATTACAAGAAAAAGATATAATATTGAAGTAGGAAATACATCTACATTTCAAAAGCGGTTTTCCATGTTCTGAAAGATATTTTACGTGGTTTTTGCTATAGCGACAGGAATGCCTAGTATTATTCGCTCGCTATATCTGCCTGTTCCATCTACGGTTGTCTCTCGTGGGATCAGATCAAAGATTGTTTCTCAAGAGGTAATAGTAAATATAAAATAAATGGAATTACATTTGTGGTTGACTCTGTTCAGTTCATTTGATGACCTCTGTTGATCTGTACTTTGTAAGACATAGTATTTACGCGGAATCTCTATGGTTAGTTTGGCATTACGCGATATGTTTATGTCGTTGACTGTCTACTCAAGGAGTTGGGGATCAAAACCAAATATAATGGATCGCGGTGATCCAGTTTTTATATTATTATAATAAAGTTATATTTATTATAATAAAAGATAATGAAAATATTGACGAGAGGTATCGAAGCAAACGAGACGGCATCAAACCTGTAACATATTGCTGACCACTGCTCTGCCAACTGAGATATAGATCAACTAGTAGAAATTCTGCAGAGAGCAACTCCAATTTGGAAATAAAACGAAACTAGACGCGACGAGATTGTGTTGATTTACACACGCCGAGATGGCGAAATGTTTGATGTGAAACACGCAGCGGGTAGCGCGCACCGGCGGGCGTACACAACACATTCCGGATCGTGTCCGGAGCACGGCGTGCGACCGACGACGGGGTGCGCTCGGCGCCGGCGCCGGCAAACCTAATTGCGGTACCTACGCAAGAAAGCTCAGATTTATGAGCCGCTTAGAATTAACTGTTAACCATTTACACATATCACGACCCCCGCTTTGTTTGTACTGTTATTCACACATTCTAACATGTAAATAAACAATTGTACTGTTTGCGATTTATTTATTCTTCTCTAGTTTGATTTTACACGGCTAGATGCTCGACTTAATGGCGTAACAGGACCTTTATTAGTTTAATAGCAGCGTTTTAGCTGTTCGACCACGTGTTTTAATGTTTTATGTTAACGTGCTCTAATGGGATTCGTAGTTCATTAAGTCCTAATCGGCCGAGTAGTGTTGTTTCCCTGGCCGTGTAGAGAGCGTTCTGCGCGCGCGCACGACTGGAATATTTTATGTGCTCAGGTAATTATTGCGACTAATGCTCGTCTAACGGTCTCTTCTGAAATGTTTATGGCAGCGTATTCAGGCCCTTTAACCGCTACGTTGTTGATTTAATGGAATAGGGATGACGACAGGGTAAAAAAAAAAGAAATTCTATTTAGTGCGTTAGTCAGATAATAGAAAAATATATGAAACATTTTTTATTTTCTTCAATTAATAAGAAATAGTAGACATTAAAGTTCAGGAGTGCGGGCTCGCTAAGTCATAGTTTTGTAGAAAATGTACCAAAGTGTGACGTCATGTGACCTTTTAACACAATGTATCGCCGTAATTAAATGATTACAAAATATATATAAAAAAAAAATTAGTCGTCATCCCTATCGTCCAATTACGAATGCGGCCCCAGATCTATTCCTGTATTCAACGCGGATTTCCTGTGAAGTCCCACTTTCTACACCGCGTGTATTTCTTTTAAGGGAAACTGCTTATACTGTACGTCGTAGATAGCAGTTTTAATCAGACGGTGTCGACTATTAGAATACAATTGAACGCGGTTAATCGGTTTATTAGAGATGCTGGGTTAGACAGTTCGTGTTACTGAAATTTCCGTTATTATTCTGCCGTTATATTGCGATCTGCTGGCATATCACGTTGCTCATTCTTGACGAAATTTAACAATTAGTTTTCTTTTCTCAATCCTAAAAATTGTGTTTTCTCTTGTCCACAGAGGGAAATTCGCATCGGTTCGCAAAATACGGCACCTGGTGTCCGGCGAAGAGTATGCGGCGAAGTTTATACGCAAACGGAGACGCGCTGCGGACACGACGCGCGAGATACTACACGAAGTGGCCGTGCTCGCGCTGTGCGCCGACTGCACGCGCGTCGTTAGATTACACGAGGTGAGCTGGCTATAGTAGACCATAGGATGCTTTTGAAAATATATACATCTTTTGAGTTTGACTGTACGTAACAAAGCACCGAGGAAATCTTTATAGAAAATCTGTCTCGCAGCTCTGAACAAACTTAATCAAAAAGTTTACCGTGTGATGTGCACAACAATATCGAGAAATAAGTGATTTACGAACAACCACTTGAATCATTTTTAGCTAAAATCAGAAAAAAATAAGCTAGCGGTATATATTTAAAATACGACAATGTGTCATTTCAATTTTGGGGAGATGAAACATTTTAATCCAGAATGTTTGGGAGGGTAAAATTCTGATGCATGGCACACCATTTCATTGTGAACACAAACATGGTTAGAACAAAAAGTATATGCTTAAGGATCGTTCAAGTATTATGTAAATTTTTGAAGATTTTTGCTCCTTCTCCTACCTTCTTTCTTTTATGTTACGCCCTTTAAAGTTTTTCTGACCCCTCACTCCCTTATATAAACGTTACATAACGCTCATATGACCAAACCTATTGGTACGAACTGCCCTCCTTGTAACGCATCGTAACAAGACCTCTCGTGGTCAACATTCCAGGTTTACGAGACCCGTTCGGAAGTGGCGATAGTGTTAGAATTGTGCGCGGGCGGCGAGCTGCAACGACTCCTGGATGAGGAGGAGCGCCTGACGGAGGGCGGCGCGCGGCGGGCGCTGCGGCACGCGCTCGAGGGGCTGGCGCACCTGCACGCGCGCCGCGTCGCGCACCTCGACCTCAAGCCGCAGAACCTGCTGCTGAGCGCCGCGCGCGACGAGTTGCTCATATGCGACTTCGGCATCAGCCGCGCCATACACTCCGGGGCACATGTGCGCGAGATATTGGGCACCAGGGACTATGTCGGTCAGTATCATACCAAACTTACATCACGAACATCCCCGCACGCACGTTAGAGCACGCCTTGTCTACACAACCTGTGTAGTTTGGTGAGAGTGTTCTTACCGATAAAATTGCACTGGATTGCATGTGTCTGTAGTCATTTACAATATGAAACACTGCAGCCTAGATTATTAATTCTACCGAAAAAAATATTAATCTCATGATTTGCCTATAAGGAGCTCGATGGCATCAATGGTAAGCGCGATCAGTCTGCTATGCGGAGGTTGAATGCGTGAACAAAATCTGTAGTTGTAAATGTAATTACCAATCCGCATTGAGCCCGTGTGCTGGGTATGACTCATCTTCCTTATTTGATGCCATCCATAGGGTAGGTTTGAGCCCCAGCAGTGAGGACAATAATAGGATGATGGAAATATTAACTAAAGGTCTATGACAACGCCATCGTACAATATCTCACTCTCGACCCGAGAAAAGTATCGTCTGGCGTAGCCAAAGCGTTTCTCGAGTTTGTCATGTTAGAATGAATGTCTTTTTATATAAATCAAACGGTTTGTTGTCCTTCCAGCGCCAGAGATCTTGTCGTACGAGCCGCTGTCTCTGGCGGCGGACATATGGTCGGTGGGCGTGTTGGCGTACGTTCTGCTGAGCGGGTACTCGCCGTTCGCGGGCGACACGAAGCAGGAGACGTACCTGAACATAGCGCAGTGCCAGCTGTCGTTCCCGCGCGACCTGTTCCGCGGCGTGTCGCAGCGCGCCATACACTTCATCAGGGAGACGCTCGTCGTCGACCCCAAGTGAGTTACACTTTTGCACCCAACTCTGTGGGCTAATTGTCCAATTTCATCATCCACCGCGATCCCTTCCAAAGGTGCAGCGATCGTGGTAGCGATTTATTAAATTATATAATTTTTCGGAACGAATGATGATTCGAATGATCAAGAAATATAATAAAAAGGAGAATGGGAAACGATATATGGAGTTACGTTTCAAATTTTTTTTTGTGCCTTGATGAAACCTACATCATTTTGTAGGGTTTTGGCCTACGATTCAATTACAAAAAAAATAATTACTCCAATTCGACGGATTCATGAGAAATAAGCTGCTGAAGTTCATCAAGTATGTCGAATCAGTTTGGTAAACAAACACAATTCACACACGAAAAAAGAGTCTCTTTCTCGAATATGTTCAGTTTCTATAGTTACGGAGGAACTCGAAATTCACTCGACGTAAAACTTAAAGAAAGAAGAAAAGTCGAAGTTAGGGCTGCATATTTTAAGGTATTTAGGTAAAATTAAAAACTTATTTTTAAAAAAAGGTTTGATATCGTCACAGAGCGAAACCACATTTACCCATTCTCTTTTAGTAATAGTAATATTTACTATTTAATATTTATTTTCAAATAGCTGTAGTGTGAGGTATCGTACGTGAATATCTTTAAAAATGTCAAATTGAAAGTGATTTCGATAGATAATACAATTAGATAATACGGTCCCAGGATCCACATAATACGCCAACGGTTCTGTTCGCATTCCGCATGGTTCTGTATAATAATACATATAAAACTTCCTCTCGAATCATTCTGTATCTAAATGAAAATCACATTAGAATTTGTTGTGTAGTTTAAAAGATCGCACCTTACAGACAACGGGTAGCGACTTCGTTTTTATACTATGTATAGAATAGCTATCTATCCGGGCTTGTTACAACTTCAATTTACATGTAATAAAGTGAAATCTTTCGTCATATTCGTTAATTCATTTACACAAAAAATTAATTAACTTTCAAAGTGAATTTACTCCACGCGTTGGTGATAATTGCATGAAAATTTATTCGGTGGTTTGTATTAGACGGTAGGCGACAGATGGTAGGCGCGCCGAAAGTGAAACATTCGCAGTCCGGGCGATTACCCAACTGTTTTTCGATATAAGCTTGGAAATCATAATTATAATCGTCTCTTATTATCAGAGGTCGGAATTAGGTAGAGTTATTTATGTACTTGCATCGAAATGTTGATATTAATGTGGACCTTCCCGGGATTTCTAATGGACAATCTTGGACAACTTTGGACATCCGATGTCATTGATGTAAGTTTGGCAACGTCGTACGTGCGGTAGTTTAAATTGTGTAAAAGATAATAACTTTTTATTTAAAAAATCATGGGATTTTTTCTGCTCTTTAAAAGTAATCTCGGGATTTGAGGCATATCCACTATATTCTTTTGCTGTATGAAATCAGTGTAAGTGCATGAATAACTCTACCTAATTCTGACCACTGCTTATTATATGTCTCTTTTACACTGTTAATTGATGTTAACATTAACAATTGTAGTGGCCAAGGTAAATAATAAATACCACCTATATTATAATTAATGATGAATGTTCGTGTTACTCCAGGGGCCGTCTTACAGTGGAAGAGTGCCTGGAGCACCCCTGGTTGAAAGACGAGGCTGATATACCGCGCGCCATACTAGGCGCCGGCTACCACGCCGCCAGCGCGCCCGCCAGTGACGACGACGAACACGACGACCACCACGAACACGTTAATGGCGTCAACGGAACGGTTAATGGCGTCAACGGAACGGTTAATGGCATCAACGGAACTATTAATGGCGTCAACGGAACAGTTAATGGCGTCAACGGAACAGTTAATGGCGTAAACGGAACAGTTAATGGCGTTAATGGGCACAACGGATGCACCAGCACGAATGGAACGCACGACGATAAAGGTGATGACGTTTTATATGATTGTTATTGTTTTGTAATTAGGGTTGTAATGTTCTCTTTAGTTTGAGGTTCAAAGAACTTTGTAATACAAAATCGATATGTTTTAAAGTAATAAAGATCGCATATATCTATTTTCTATATCGTTTCGAGTATAAAGATCGTTTAGTTCTTCCATTTAAGTAAACGCTATCTAATTATGTTTGGGATAACGTTCATACCTATTTGTTACGATTAAGTAAGACATAATAATAATGTTTCATGTGTATTTTGTGATTTAGAGGCGGGTAGTCGTGACGAGTGCGAGGAGCGCGACAAACCGCTCAAACACGCGCGGGACCTCTCCCCGCCCTGCCCCGGAGCCCCCTCCACGCCCAAGGTACTGATACTGATACCACTACCCCATCGCAGTATTCGGTTTATGGACTTACATAGTTGTGAAACGCAGTATGTAGTTCCTATATGTCACCTCGCAACGTGTTAAGCGCTACCGATTTGAATAAAGAACACGTCGACCTTCTAAATGAGTGTTATATCGTGCAGGTGTCGCGCAAGTCACATCCGCACCCGCCGTCAGTGCTGGCGCTCTGCAAGAAGTTCCAGCCCGACTACGAGAAGCCCGCCACCCTCCCCCCGCACCCGCACCCGCACCCGCACGCGCACGCGCACTCCCCGCACATGCGGCCGCCCGCAGACCGCGCGGTGCTGTGCTAGCGCACGCTTTACCCGTCTGTAGAACATGCGCGATACTGACGCGACCCCGCACGAGCTCGCCCCAACGCGGGCCGGCACGAGTGGGCCCGTGACGTCATCGATGGTTACACACGTCGCGTTCATTATGACCTCGTCTCGTCGAAGCTACCTTTCAGATAATGAATCGGCTGGATGATTAGTTGTAATCGGTGTACAATCTGATGGATATTGTTTTGAACGATCGAACCGGTTTTGATTTGTGTAAATAAAATTGAAAATAGTGATTGATCTATAACGATTTGTGTACATAATATTTTATTATATATTTTATATAAAACTTGATAGTTTTACAATTTGGAAAATTTATTGTACCGTCGCGTTTAGAAACGAAAATTATGTCATAGCTGAGACGTAATTTTGATATCAAATAACTTACTGTAGCATTCTGTTTGAATTGACCAGGAAACCAGTGCTAAAGTAATAATCGGCCTTATTACTAATGAAATAATGACCCTTATCGTATAGAGTTGAAACCGAGGACTTAAATTCTTGGGTCCGCTCTGACCACACAATTATTTATATTTAGGAAAAAATGAACTACACAAATCTACTTAATCTTTCGAAGTACATATGTACAGAGTATATTGTCTGAATAAAAGATTACTATATACAAATAAAATTCTTGTTTGATGAAAGAGTAAAATCGTTCACCAACTTATTACTAGATATTATAGATTTTTCAAATTATCACGTTTGTTTATGCCATTGAAATAATCGCGCGCAACGAAATTTTTCGCCTTATGCCATTTTTTCGATTGTAATATCGTTCAAGTATATTTGAAGTATGCAATTCATGCTTTATTACAATATTATCCATTATCGATGACGATATTTAAACAAACACAGGACAAAATAGATCAATAATAATATAATTTAATTTCTGTATACGCATCTATCAGAAGCTCGATATTTTTATATAAAGTGTAGGTCATACTTTTATGTGTGGGTGACATGAGCTGGGTAATGCGTTGTTAATATGTATCGCGTCAACGACATCTGACAGTAAAGCCCTTGTACATACAACTAGTTAAGTGTTACACCCGCCACCTGACTAACTAATTTCAATGTAATTTGTGAACAATATCTAATTACAACGGTTCTCTTTAACTACTTAAATGTCAAGAAAAAAATCTCAAGTTCTATTAGATCAGACAAAAACAATTTCAAATGACAACGTATTCTGATAATACATCCAATGCGTTACTTCTCAGTATTTAGACGGTGACTAAAAATTGCAATGTTTTTTTGTTCACAAATTGTATTGATGTTAGTTCCGTCATAAGCGGCGGGCGACTTGTATATTTGTTGGGCGGAGGCCCGTTGTACATAGCCCGCGGGGTACTCGCTACAGAGGTCGTTCCCATCGCCCTTATAAATTAGTTTATATTATGTACGTTTTTAACTGGAACACGAGTCGGGGGGAAAACTATATAAGGGCGAGTGGGAACGAACCACCGCTTCGTCCCGCTCGCGAGCCAGCGACGACTGCGGTCGGGATGTTTATTATATATATATATATTTATATATATAATGTATAAGCCGTGCTCCCATCGTGATTCGCTCTACAAACTGAAACTTAAATATCGATAAAACTATTTATATTACCTGTCGTCCGCTCATTTTTCGTTCACGTTTCTGAAATGTGCAACACATTGTGAGTTTGGGCGAATGTTAATTGGCGACTTGTAAAGTGTCCGTATTGTTACATTTAGTTACGTAATACAAATAATTGTATAAAATTTTACAGGCTTTTGGATTGTTATTATAAATGATACCGTATAGGCCTATTAGAATATGCGTTCTAATGTGTTATATATAGTGATAAAAGTTAAATAATGCTGGTAAAAATATATATTGAATGAAAAATCTAATAGAATAGTCTTCCCGTTATGTTTGGGAGCAGTGTAGAGCGAAACTCGTGTTGGAGAATCGGTGCTAGTGTTAAGTGTTTAGATGATTCTAACAGAGTAATTGTACGTTTAGTTTGTAGCGGCGCGTCCGCCGCGATCGACCCGAATGTCTGGGACCAAAATTTGCGTAGTCGCCGCCGGTAATGTGTCGGCGTTGAGTTGTTGTCGCAGTTTGTATTGTACAATATATTTGAAATTTTTATCACTACGAGTGACCGTTTTTTCGGGTTGTTGTTAGATAGGGGAATTGTTAACGTAGCGAACGTCGGATCATGAGCTCAAATCTTGTGACTTAATTATTTTTCTTTGTAAATTTATTTTGATGAAATCGTCGAGTGCCTTTCGCAATTGTCTACATTGTTCATCCCATTCTGAATATTGCTTCATTTTACTTAGTAAATTGTCTTTTATTTTCGTTCATGAGAAGGATTAATTTTAACCATTTCTCAATTTAACTCGAAGATTTATTACCTTGTGAGAACTGTTGTGATTCGTGAAAATAAATTATTGTGATATAATTTTTTTCTTTTTATTTACTACCTGTCCTTTGTACTAAAACAAAGAAGCTGTTAACTGAGAACACTCTGCAAATATTTGTACCTACTCCAGTCATGAAATAAGAGACAAATGCAAATATTTTTTATGGAATGTAAAGAATATTTTAAATGAGAAGCTTGGATGCTTATACTTGGTGCTTATAAGAAATAATAGGTAGTATTCATTATGAAATAAAATGAAAATATCTTTATTCAAGGAGGCTTATTACAAGCACTTTTGAATCGTCCAAAACAAGTGGTTTTCCCCTATCACTTGTTTAGGCCGTCTTTTAGCTGACAAGAAGAACAAGCGAAAGAAACTTACCAGCTCTTTATCATAAGTAATGACATTTACATAAATCATGTCATTACCAAAATAATATCTATTATCATCACAATAATAAATACAACTTTCAAAGTCTGTAGGACATAGGTTGTACATAATTAGTTGTTATAGAACAAAGCGAAGGCTATTAATCATCAACTTTATGATAGCCTTTACTCATAAGTATGTTCTTTACATGAATTTTAAACTTATTTATGGGTATGTCAATTACATTTGTGGAACTTTATTGAACATAGCAATACATTTACCCAGAAACTACCCTCTGGTTTTCTGAAGTCTGAAGCTTGGAACGGCAAGTTGATTTTTATTTCTTGTGTTAAGATTATGAACACTACTTTTTTTTGTGAAGGAATTGTAATGTTTTCTTGCGTACATAATATTTTCATAGATGTATTGAGAGGCAACAGTCAAAATAAATAGTTCTCTGAGAGATTCTCTAGACCGTAAATTATATATAGCGCGGATAGCTCTCTTTTGTAGAATAAAAATATATTATGAATCCTAATTCTACTAAACTTGGTGCAGTAATTAGGATTTAAAAAAAAACACGATTTAAATAAAAACAGTATGTTCAATTTAAAAGCATCTTTTACTGAATCACATTTCAAATTCCATGCTGATTTGACTCAAACGTTTTGTCAGTTTCATGCGTACAATATTATTTTCTGTATACTTAAAAAGTTACGAAAAAAAGACAATGTTTTTACAAACAAGTAGGCGGACATATACTACTTACATACAGATACAATTGAATATAATGTCTACTATAACAAATACCACATTTTCCATTACAAATTCATTATATAAAAAAAGGAATATTTTGACTAGATTATAAAAATCTTACAATTTATAATGATTATGTAATAGGGGTGATTAAGATCGGGTGGAATATTATTGGAAGATGTTAGAATGGTATTTGTGGACACCATTCTAACATCTTCCAATGTCCTAAATGTCCTTCCAATCTTCCAATACATCCCCGTGTAATGTAAGTATCAGTGGTCAAAAATATACAATGAAATTCAGTGGCAGTGCAAAACTTAAAACATTAGATTCGGAGAAATTCGCCATTCTCTAGGCTTAATAGTCTTTTTTAGCCCATACAGAGACAAAGAGCACACACCATTCCAATAATAACTAAAAGAAAACTAATACATTAGATCACAAATGTTCCATTCAAAATTCAGTTATTTATTTCATAACAATGCTTTTATCATAATAAAAACACTACTCAGACTATATCACATATTAATATCTAAGTTAATATATACTTCTCTATTTATGCTGACATCGAGAAAATATCGTAAAACAATAAATATGATTTATTGTAAAAAAATGTAAAGCGATTTTTTTCTTCTGCAAGGAGTTTATGATACTATAAAATTTTATTTTATCATTGACATTAAAAATATAGAACACACGATTCAAATTAAAAAACTATAAGTTCTAACGTAATTCTGAAAAGGAGAATGGGCAATTTACTATGAGAGTTCGGCTATTTTTGCGTAACAATGCACCTTGTTGAAACTAACGGCAAATGATAGAGAATTATTATTAGAATGAGTAGGAAAAAAATCATTTTAAATTTATGCCGGAGTTGGAGAATGTCTTAATATTTAACAAGGATTTTGAGGTTATGTCGTTATAATATCTACGTATATAAGAGCAATAAAATGAATTATTTATTTCAAATAATTGATGACTAACAGATAGAAACATTTAACTGTGAAAAAGTACATACCTATGTTATAAAAACGAATGCTTTGCTTTTTATTGTAAAGGATAAACTCAAAAACAACTGGGCCGATTTAAAAAAAAATTGACCAATATAATACCTGACCAACATTATCAATGTTAAAATACTTTATTTTGTAAAATTAGTGATAGGAAATTCGCACGTCAAGTCGATTAATAACTTGGAAACTTAGTAGGTAGTCGTAGTTATATTAAGCAATTGCTTCAATTGAGTTAATTTTAAATGCCGCGTAATTTTAAAATACTATTTGTATAGAATAAATTATAATTAAAGAGAAAAATTTTGATAAATAAATGCTTAGTGCGCAATTTTGCGTAATTTTAGCCGACTTCTGCCCATTCTCCTTTCTCTAGAAGACTGATTAATTATGAATTACATAATAATAAGCTTGATCAATTGATCAAGATTTTTATTATGCCACTAAAGATTGACGAATTAAGATTCTTCAATAACGTAGAAGATAAGAGATTCGTCATATAATTTAAACTAATTTATAATACCTATACTTAAAGTCTTTAGTTACATTATATCTAATAATAATAATACTCATAAGATTGATATGAACACGATTATTAAATACATTATGTTGACACGAGCAGTGATCTAGACAAAACTGGTGTTCTTTTTTAAGGTTTTATCAATGAAATAGGGGTAATGTTAAAAAGTATCTTTTGGTAATTCGTATATATTTAAAGTCACAATAGGGTATTAAATCCAACGTCGATAATTATGAATTGCATATTGCTTTTAATGCAATGTTAGTAAAAGAATTTGAACATTCATTATATTTCTTAGGGAAATACACTTGGATAATAAAACAAATATTTAAAAAAAGCTTGGGACTGTATATAATAGACAACAAGTCGAAACACGATGTTACGTTATTTAATTACAAAGTTTCTATGGCCACTTCCAGTTACATCATCACACTCTAAATATTATCTTGGATCAAAGCCTTTGACCAATCAAATGAGCCAACATTTGATAGGGTTACTTTCAGGCTCCCTCATCAACAGTGATTGAAGTACTGTAAGTATGGGCAT